TAGCCAATCAGATTTTTTAGCTTCAACATCAGCCAAACTTTAGCATCAGCCGTAATACTTAATAAAAAAAAAAGTTTTAGATAGAAGCACTACACATTTAGGCTTATAGTAAAATTTATATATAAAAAAAAAAAAATTTGTTTAAATGACTCACGATTTGTCTATTAATTCTTCTTTTATTTATTTAATTCTTCTTTTATTCATCTTTTCTTGACAAATATTAATATCTTCTTTTTTTTGTAGGTTTTGACTTCATTAGAATACAAAAATAAACTAGTGATAGAGTTTTAAACTTTGGTAGAAAATAAAAACTATAGCTAAAGTTAAGTACTAATTCTTTTTTTTTTCTATTTATTACTATTTTTCTTTGGAAGATAATAAATTTTTTTTTTGTAGGCTTTGATCTTATTAGAATGTAAAAAAAAACTAGCAGTAGAGTTCTGAACTTTGGCAGATATTAATTCACATTGGTCAATAGAAATCTTAACTTGGTTTGAAACTGAGAACAGAACTAAAAAACAGTTAACTATAGATATAATAAACCTTTTTATAACGAACTCTAAATATAATAAATGCAAAAATTTTGAAATTTTATAATAGTTCGGTATAAAAAGTGATATGGATTCTTAAGAAAACATAATAATTTCTCTATAATAAACTTTTTTTCTTCCAGAATCTTCAGTTCATCATAGAAAAAGTTGATTTATTAAATTTTTTTTGGTTTGTTTCATTTTAATTCTTTTTAGCATGTGCTAATATTTTTTGTATCTAGCTTAGGTAAAATATAGAATCACGTTAAGATTTGAAAACTGAGCCATTTTTTCTTTTTTCTTTTTAATTACTGTGACTTATACTTTATAATATAATGATAATGTTAAGTCGAATTAAAATTTGCGTTATATTAAAACAACTATGATGCCATAATACCTACTTATCTTTATCTTAACATACCAGGTATTTTAAAAGTTTTCTAATTTTTTAATAAGATTACAATATTGAAACTTTTAAAACACCTAGTATAGAGATTTACTCTATGTTAATTTGGTATAATTATGTATTTCAATAAAATAAGTTTACGCATTTACAAAGAATAAATCTTAAGAATTGTTTAAATTTTTAATAAATTTTTTTTTTTTTTTCTGAGCTCTTTCATCCTCTATTTTTTCAGTATGCATTTCGGGTTCTTTCTATTAGTTCACTAACAATTGAATATCTATTTTTATACTTTTTTTAAGAGTTGTTTAAAGCCTAATACTTCACAAAATTATCTGTAATACAAGAAATCATAGAAGACATAGTGATCCTGATTTTTTTTTCAGTATTTAGCAAAATCTATAGCAATTTTTTTTTCTTTTTTTTTTTAAAGGAATCTCTTTTTTCTTTTTTTTTTTTTTAAAGAAATCTCTTCTCTCTTTTTTTTTTTTTTTAAAAAGAATTTTTTTTTTTCCTTCCAAATACTCTTTCTTTGCAGTTGTGTTAGTTATATACAAACAATAAAAAGTTATTAAGACTTTTTTACTACATATTATTACTGAATTATAATATATTGTTAAAAGCATTTTCAAAAATACTACTGCAGTGTTATTGTTTAGTGAGCAGAGTATATTCATTGTATTGTAGTTCTGTAGTTAGATTGCAAGCAAATTATTATTTTGCATCTTTTTTTTTATATAATATAGTTTTTTTTTTTTTTTTTAATATGGCTAGTAACTTTGTTAAAAAAAAAGGCAATGTGTTTAAAGAAATTGAAGTTGACAAAGATGAAGTTTTGATGGAAAACGAAAAGACTATGTTTGAGAAAAATGATGTGATTGTATTAAATAATAGTGAAAAAAAAAATGAGAAAGTACAAACAATATCCATAGCAGATAAAGCATTTACATCATATAAAGAGATCAAAGTTTACATGTCACAATCTACAACTCTTGATCAAAGATGAGTGCTTTTCTTCAATATTGGTAAACTATTTAAAGTATCAATAAATAAATTTAATAGTGAATAGTGGTCATTTGTTACAAATGTGTAGACAAGGTTTAGTTATAAAAACCACATCAATAGTAATTTTTAGAAAGCATTTGCATACTGATTAATAAAGTATAATCATTCAAGCGGTCAAAAGAAGAAATTCTTGCTGAAAAACATCAAAAAACAAAGATCTGTTTTCCAATCTCAGCTTCACAAAAATCCAGGTACTACATTTTGTTAATACACAAAAAGTGCAAGTAGAACGATATAATAGAAGTTCTGATCATGTATATATGCTTAATGAAAGTGAAAAGCTAAAGCGTTCATAAGCAGTGCAGAAATTAGTTAAGGAAGAAGCAACCAAAAACTACCTACCATACAGTATACATATTTTTGAAAAATACATACTAGCCACACATACAACTTTTGATTGCCTATTTAAATAGTTCATTTATTACTAAGTTCTATACTAGATGCCATACCTGCAACCCAACTAGAGGATTACCTATTTAAG